GCTTAAAATTTAACAATAGTTCAATAATTTTAAGAATTTTTTAAGTTGTAAGGGTTCAATTTAGTTGGATATTAAAATTACAAAATTAATTTATTACAGTTTCTGTATAATTTGGACGCTATTTGCAATATATTTCCTTATAGGTCGCTAAAAAATTTTACTATCTAACATTGTAACTAAAAAATCCCCAATAAAAAAGTTCACTGTATAAGACAAATTAATAAAACAAACCTAACCTAACTTAACTTTTAATATAAACCGATTAGAAAAGTTCTGATTAAAAAATTGAAGAAGATACATTTAGAACATAATACGTATTGATAAATGAAGTAAAAAAAAAGGTCCTTTCTTTTTTTCCAAGAGAAGAATCTTGACGTAACTCACAGAATGTCAAACTTTGATGAGTGTCCACCGAATGAAGTAAAAAGTAGCAAAGCAAAGCCTTGTACAAACAGAGTGGGTGCATGGTCATTCTTCGTTGTAATTACCGAGAAGATAAGAAAGATGGTGGGTGCAAAAGATAGAAAATGAGGGGGTTGGTAAAGGGAGTGGTTGGAAACGTTGGATAGTAGGAAGGCATCGGAGCTTGTAAGTGGCAAGACAAGAGCCACTCTTTTCTGAGAATAATGCTGTGACCCAGGGGACCTGCCTTTCAAGAAAAATGCTGATTGCTTCCCCTCCATTTCTCTTTCTCTAACTTGCTACCCTCTTCCTTTTTCTTTCTTTATATACTTTTTTCCTATCAATCTTCGACTTTTCATAACGCATACATAAGTATATTTTTTGTCCTACTCATCCACGTCTCTCTCTCTCTCTCTCTCTCTCTCTCTCTATATATATATATGTTTAAAGTGTAGGAATAGTTACGTGCTTTTATTTTTTTTTTTTATGGTAAAGCCAGTATCTCATGGGAAATAGTATCTATTCTTTTTTAAGATAAATATCTCAATTCATTTAAAAGGGACGACTGACTATATCATTGATTTTAAGAATATTGCACAAATGAAAATATGTCGGTAATTATGAAAATTAATAAACAATGAAGTATAAAATTTAAATAAAATTTCTTTTATATTAATTTTATTTATAATAGGTTAAAAAATTAATCATTTATTTATTTAACCTAGTGTCATGATTATGGACACAAAATGTGAGCTCAGTGCACTGTGAGGGGTTGATAGTTTGAATTCTGGATTCTATAATTTTATTTTAATGTTAATAATAAAGAAATATAAATTGATAATGAATTATTGGAATGTACAGGGATCAATATTTATTGATTTTGAAATAATATTATAATTATATTTAGTATTATAAGATAATAATGTCTTTTAAATATTTTATATAAAAAATTATATTCATTTATTATTGTTATATATATATATATATATTAGTATTTTATATAATAATTATTAGTATACTATATAAATATACTAATACTATATACTATATACTATAAATATATTATATACTATATAATAATTTAATTAGTATATTAGTATTATGTATATATGTATATAACAATAATAAAGGAATATAATTATATTTTCATTTTAATTTATTTATGTATGAATTATATTTTTATATATAACTTAGTAATGGAGTCTTATTAATGTTTATTAAAATGATGTTAAAAGTTTTATCATAATATTAAAAATTTTTAATGTCAAAATTTTTAATAATTGTTAATACCTAATATTAGACAAACTTAATACTAATCTTATCTAGTATTTCTTATAGCTTCTTTTAGTATGGGATACTATCATATGTTTTTGTAAATTTATAAATAACAGATGGGGTTCTTGATCATACTTTAGTTTCTTTTCAATCACTTGAACCAAACTAATGAAATGATGAACTGTTGATCATCTTACTTGGAAATGAATTTGTTCTTCTACCTTGCTATTTTATACTCATTTTCTATTTTGGTTTTTATAATTTTTCCATATGCAATGTGTTGATAATTTGAACATTTGTATCCGTTTCCTTTCTTATATATCGTTTTTAATTGACTTATTTTTCATTCTTCCGTCATTTCATATGAATTTATGTATGTTTGAAATAGTTTTGTTAGATGTTTGTACAGTTTGTTGCTAACATATTTTATCAGTTCTTAGAAAAAATTGAATGATTGTGTAAATTTTTAGTAAACATATGTATGAACAATATCATATCATGTAAGAGGATTTTATATTTGTATTGTATCTATGTGAGATGTAAGAAAAAATAAATGTATAAGTGTTGTGTGTGTTTCTGTAAGAGAGAAAGAGAGAGATAAAGATAGAAAGAGGGGTAAATCGTGACTACCATTAACGCTAGCCTTTTCATCGAAGCGAGCGTGAAAATTAGGTGGCTTAAAAGCATCAGGTAACTGAGTTATTACGTATAAAGAGAAGTAGCGAGGGTGTGAAGTACAGAAACGGAGGAGTACCAGCAACAGCTCATCGGAGTAACACAGGAAGTGCCGTTAAAAGCTCGTAATTGATACGGTTAATTGTGTTTCGTTAAATGAATGGAAATTAGGTGACTCCCAATCGTGAAAAGGTTATTACATACTATATCAAAGAATAATTGTCATCAAAGTTCATCGTTCTACTTTTTATTGTTCATTCTAACATTTAGAATTAACAAGAATCATTGTTCGTTTTATTTCTATTATTTGATTAAGTAATTCCACACTTTGTATTCTTTATTATACTTTCTGCTAATTTGAGGATAAAAATCTTGGGTTGTAAATGTTGGGGTTCTTATAAAAAGAAAAAGAAAATGATGAGAGAACGATTGTGATAAAATCGTCACTAAACTTGATGATAAAAATCTTACATTAGATTGTAAATTGCAACAAAATGTAGTGGGGTTCTTAAAGAAAGATGAAAGGGAGCTAAGGGAGGTGGAAAAAGAACAAAATTGTGATAAAATCGTCACGAACAGACGTAAGTGGTAGAAAATCGGTTCGCTAGTGGTTACGAATATACGCTCGAATGAGCTCACATCTTTCTCACTTTACTATTAGATATATATAGAAATAAAGAAATATAATCATAGTTAGGTGAATAAAGTTTCATTTTTATGAAAAGTGGTAGATTTGAAATATGCAATAGAAAAATAATAATAATGATAATACAAATATTACAGATATCAAATTCTTATATATGCAAACGATTTTTCAATCGCAAAAATAAAAAAATTAATATTATTATTATACAAATATTACAATTAATAAATATTATTACAATGTATTTTACATTTATTAATTTTTGTATGTATATTGCAATTATTAATTTTTATTGAAATTGTATTTGCAAAATGTGATATATAATAAAATAAAATAATAATAAAAAATAATAAAAATAAATAAATAAAAATAAATAAGAAAATAAATAAAAATAAATAAGAAAATAAATAAAAATAAATAAGAAAAATAGTAATAAATAATTAAAACAATAATTAAAAATAAATAATGCAAATATTACAAATATTACATTCTTACATAGACGATATTAAAAAAAAAAACATACAATAAAACAAAATTTTATAAAGTTTAAAAAATTGTGTAAAAACATAATATATTAGGTCTACCGGAAAATTCTTTCCATTTTGAAAATAAAATAATAAATTATTCATAATTTGAACAATTAATTAATTGAATTACTTTTGGTTGCAATTTTTGTATATTCCATTTTAAGAAATGGGGCGTAAAATAGTGACGTAAAATTGAACTAATGTTTCTTTGAACGGACAGAATTTTCCGGTAGACCTAATAGTAATAAAAATAAAATAATAATTATAAAATAAATAATAAACACGTTAGGTTTTTTTCTTTTGTATGCACTCATCGTCAGTGAATTTGAAGAGTGATGAAAATTGATGAAAATAAATACAAATATCTTGTAAAGACGAGATAGAAAAGGAAGAAGAAAACTTAAGGGAATGAAAGATCCCAACGAAAAGGACCGAGAGAAAATTTAATTAAAAGCGCGTTCGAGCTGTGAGATCGAAATGTGTTCAAGCCGGCAAACGTCGCGAAGTGTTAATACAATACAGCCAATTTGCGGCTTCGTTCTTACTACGAACGAAGATGCTGGGCTGTTTTCCTCCTCGAGTGTTTGGCTCGATAAGCAATCGAATTTATCGTGTCGTACAGAAGATTTCTCTTTACTTTCCAAAATTGACAAATTTCGATTTCTTACGTCTAAATCTTCCCTATGTTCGGTCAAAACCATACAATTAAAAAGAAAAAGGAACAAAAAAAAAGAAAATTGTTAGGTTTCTAATCCTCCATTTTGAAATGATAATCAGAAACAGGATATTTAATTGTTTAACAAAATAATTAGAATCTTAATTATTGTTAATTTGATAGAAATTTGTTAGTTATCTTATTTTTAAATATGGTGGTGTAATAAATATTGAATTTTCTTTTAATATTATTGTTGTAGTATTATTTAATATCGTCTTATTTAAATTTTCAAAATTAATCTTCGATAAGGTTTCTTTTTTAAATATTTAATTGGTAACAAAATAATTAGGATTATATTTATTATTTTTATATTTATTATTGTCAAATTATTAATTTTTATATATATTCTCGTAAAATTAATTAATTATATTTATTTGTTTAATTAATTATGGAAATTATTATTTTCTGATATATTAGGTTGATGTACAAATAATTGAGGTTATGACGCCATATATGACGTCAATTTTTCAAGTTACTTTGTGTTTAATTATTGTCATATAATACTTCACTGAAATGGATATTGTTGCATATTTTTCAACACTGTAAATATCGACAATAATGATTTAAGAGTTGTTAATTATTAAATCGAATTCATGTAAAACAATACGAGAGATAATAGAAGAGTCCATTGTTAAAATCACTGAACAGTTTTTTACTTGACATTAAAACAATGTATACACTATTTTAATTCGATACTTAAAAATCATAATTGATGAGTTAATTGTATTGAAATAATTTGTTATATGATTTATATTTGTTATAGATCTGGTAAAGGATAGAAGAAGAAGAGAATGGGAGGGGCAGAATGGAGTGGTTGGTTGCAGCGATGTCGAGAATCACGAAGACTTGTCCTCGTGATTGTTGCCATTGCTTTATTGCTCGACAACATGCTTTTAACAACTGTCGGTGAGTATTTTATTTATTTTAAATAATATCAATACATATTTTTAAAATAAAGATACGAAAACCGCGAATGGAGGGGTCCGCGCTCAGGGATTGGAACAATGGCGGGATTTGGTATTTGTGGCAATGAATTTTCTAGTTCCTAATGCCAATTAATAATAATTATTATTATTAAAATAAGTAAGAACTATTAATTTTCAAAAACAACAATTATTATATATATAGAAATTATATATAGAAATAAATAATAATTATATATAGAAATTTGGATTTGTGATAACTAAGAAAGGTTGAGGTTAGGAATTTGATTAGAATGAATGATTGTAAATTAAATTGAAATTCTAAACTTTTTTAAAAACAATAAAATTCAATAACCATATTACGTCCTGTGGCATAATAAAGAGTGTAAACAATTTTTGGTCAAACTGAAATTTGGATTTGTGATAACTGAGAACGGTTGAGGTTAGGAATTAGATTAGAATGAATGATTAAAAATTAAATTATGATCCTAAACTTTTTCTGTAGCTTGTGGAATAGGCGTCTGTCACTACTTTGATCAAAAACAATAAAGTAATTCTAATCGTAGGTAATACCTGCATTTTACATCGTTGCATAACGAATAAGTTTATAGGTTATCCAACTTACTATTAGTTCCTTATTGGGTTGTTACATTGACGTCTAGAAGACTTATTGGTTTAGGAAGTTAATAAAGAATAGATTATACCTTTCGGGGGTGAAGTTTAAATGATTTTCACAAGAAGCAGCAGCAGGAATCTTTACTTTGTCTAAAGAAAAATTCGTTTCTTTTTAAATCACATCGACTTCGACAATTCCTTTTATCTCTTATCAAAGTACCACGAATGTAATCGCTTGTAAAAAGGTACACACGAAAAGAATTCACACGCAGCTCGTTAAAAACTTCTTCTACGAAGCTTGACGAAACGCACATACTGTGATAGGGAATGAAAGAAAGTTTTATATATTTTTTTTTTTTTGTTTTCTTTTCTTTTCAAAATAAAGTACAGTAAGAACCTTCTGATTAACCAATGTGATCGAGGAGACAAATTACGTGGATAAATCAAAGTTCAATGGATACTTAAAACTAGGGTGGAATTTCTTTCAAACGCATTTTATTTTTTTTTTTGTACAAAATAATATTTTTTACTGTTATTCTTTTTTTTTATAGTAATGCATATGCATATATTATTATATTATTATTGCTTACATAAATAATTGCATTTATATATTATTATTATATTAAATACATATTACAAAATAATATTTATATGTTTTTTCGTTTTTTATTTATTTATATAAATTTCGTTATTATTTTTATCATAATTTTTGTATCAATTACTAAATATTTATAATAATAATAATAATAATTAATAATAATAATATTATATTATCACATATAACAATATTGAATGATATGCCTGATGATGATTTTTATATTATCATCTAAAATATTTTCGTTATATTTAATTTTATTTACAAAAAAATATTCAATATCATTTTTTTTATTAATAAATTATTTATTAACCTTCCGTCGGTATGGTGGATTATTATACTAACGCCATAGGATGAGTTTTTATCAATATTATAATTTATAATAAATTTATAATTGCTTTTTAAGATTTTTAAAATATTATCTCCAATAATTTATTTTATTATTTATAATTTTAATTTAAGAATAAAATTATTTATTCAAACATGACAATATCAACATTATCGACTGAGGGTTAAAATAAAACATCAATATACCGTCTTAAAATTAATAAACAATTAAATTGATTATTATTTAAAGAATTATATTTTCTACAATTTGTACTTTTCAAAAAAAATTTCCTTTAATACAATTCGACGATCATTAGAAATAAAATAGAAGAAATTAATAGAAATGCTTCCTTTTTTTTATTTTTATTTGGAGAATAAATCCTCGCGAGTAAAAAGAAGAGAAAAAAAAAGATAGAGACAGGAGAGGGGTAGGAAAATTGGAAATCGTATCACGGGGACATAAGTCGAAGGTAATATCAGCTCGAGGAATCAGAATCTTCGATGAAAACCTGAAAGTAGACGGGTCTCAAGATCTTGACGAGATTAGGGCTCTGATCCTCGAGACGGAAAACAATATCCCAAGGGGCGCTGGGGGTGGAAAATTAATCTAAACAACTGCATTTCTTATTTTTTTTTTCGTTCTATAAAAATTTCATTAACTAATTACGTATTAAAAATTACGCTAGCAAAACCAATAAAAATTATTTGCTAAAGTTAAATTATTTGTTTTATTTCTTTCTAAACTAATACTAAAAAAATAAAATAAAATAATTCACTAAAGCACAGACAAAGACAGACAAAGTACATGCACATAACCTTGATAAATTTTTCATTGAGTACATTAAAAATATTGTTGAATTATCTGCAACTATGATCAAAGTTCTAAAAAATGGTAGAAAACAAAAATCTAATCCTTGATCTGAAGTTGGAAGTGGTCACGCAATTTTCCGCCTTTTAACTTTTGCACTGGTACGAAACCTCGACCATTTCCCTTTTGGCTGTCATGTATAATTCAAAGAGTACTTCATTCTGGTGTGCCGTATCGAAGGACGTCAGAAACGTATGGTTGTGGTCGTAGGGGTGAATAAGTAGGAAAAATAGGGGTGGAGGGTCGTGTATTATACCACCAATCCGAATAAGTGCCTCATGCATTTATGTAGTGCTATGAGATTTTTGTAATGGTAAAAAACCTAAACGTTTGTTGGTCATGTAACGTTGAAACGTCACGTGATAACTTTCAAAGAGAATGATTTAAGTTTGATGACGTCAAACTATTATTTGAATTGTTGTTATAAAGAAAAATGAAATTTAACAATTAATTTGTTGGGATATTGTCTCGATGATAGCAATTTCCACCTGTTGCTATACAATTTGTAAATGAAATTCCACTTGGTTGAATTAATAAATTGATCGAAAGATTATTATCGCAAATGATTGCACATGTTGAACACTAAAAATTGGGACATGAATTATTTTCATACGTTTATTAATTTGTAACTTTTGTTTCAATTAATTGATTAATTCATGTAAAAATTAGTAAATTATACTTTTAAATTTTATTTCTGCATATAGTAGTAAATGAATTTTAATGTAATTATATATATTTATTGTTACATTCATAAATAGAAGATAAATGAAATTTAATAATTAAGCCATCTGTGCATACTGTGCAAATAATTGCATGGTATTATTCTGTTCTTGTATTAAGCTTAGTTACAGTTAAATACAAAAAATTAAAATAATTTTCTTACGTACATTATTATTATTTATTTATTCTTTGGAGTGTTAAAAAAAAAACTGGTTAGCTGGAGGTGCTGGGATTTGAACCCAGGACTTTCAGCATGCGAAGCAGACACTCTACCACTGAGTTACACCCCCAATGTATTAAATATTGTTTATTATAATTCTTATAAACAAAATACTATAATTATTCGTTTTCATTTTATTTTCTTATAATTTATGGTATTTTATAATTCATTTTTCTTAACTCAATAAATAGAAATTATATTGTTTTATTAGTTACACCCCTAATGTATTAAATATTGTTTATTATATACTGTCTTAACACTCTGAGAATTCATACGTATTGTTTAAATAAAGTGTCTTAAATAAATACTGCAACTTCACACTGCTTTCTCCAACAGTTATTATTGAAAAAGTAAAATTTATATTTGACTAACAGTGACAATATAATAAATAATTAATATCCATGTATTGTACACAGTTCCAATAATTCCGGAATTTCTCTACGACATAAGACATCCTAACTCAACCCTAAGTGAACATCTCGAAGGAAATTACAGAGCAGAAGTCATAACAACGACTACAACTATGACTACATCAACCTCACCAATTACACCTCCAACACCAAGATGTTCTTGTCCCTGTAATAATACATCCAATAATTCTCAATTAGAATTTCTTTCTGGTACCACAATGTCTGCTGAACTGACAGGTGATACATTAGAACTTAAAATCTGGGTATTTGTTGATTTAATCTAAAGATTAGAAATTTTCATGAGTGATCGTGTGAATTTAGATTCAACTACGATAAATGCGACAATGGCTGAATTAGAACAAAAGGAACAAAGGCATAAAGAATTGTTAGAAGAAACGGTTGCTGTTGGGATGATGTTTGCATCTAAAGCATTTGTACAATTACTTGCTAATCCTGTTGTTGGACCACTTACTCACAGGTATTTGTAAAACCATCATACAGGATAGGGTCTTAATATTTCTATTTTAAGTTATTAAACAATTACTTAGGATTGTAAAATAAATCTAAGTTAGTAATTTTTAAATCAATGTTGTAATACAATTAATGATTTGTTTTGGAATTTTAGAATAGGCTACAGTATTCCTATGTTTACTGGATTCATTATTATGTTCATCTCAACGCTGATATTTGCTTTTGGTCGAAGTTATGGTATATTGTTTATGGCACGTGCACTTCAGGGTATTGGTTCCTCGTGTTCCAGTGTTTCAGGTAAAAAAAATAAAAATAAATTAATATGTATTTTATTATTGAATAGACTAGAATATGAATGTATGTTTTAAAGGTATGGGGATGTTGGCTGAAAGATATCAAGATGATAAAGAACGTGGTAATGCAATGGGTATAGCTCTTGGTGGATTAGCCCTTGGAGTATTAATTGGACCACCCTTTGGTGGAGTTATGTACGAATTTGTAGGAAAATCTGCACCATTTTTAGTACTTTCTGCATTGGCTCTCGGTGATGGACGTAAGTAAACTCATATTTGTGAAAAAATAAAAACAAAAAATTAACGAAGAAAAAATAAAAAAAACATGTGTGTATATCACACAAGTTAGAAGTGAGACTTTCAGATAAACAAGTTTCGATGATATAATTTATTATATAATATTATAATAATATTATTTGTACTTTTAATTTGTAATTATTTCTTTAATTACACTCAAAACTGTTTATACACGTATGTATGACGGATTGCCTGCCTATCTTTCGGGCAGAAAAATTCCGTCCCGACAGATGACGCTTGCAAGCAACGTTTTTAAAATATGTCTAGAGAGTTGCATTTATACAGGCGTGCATTTTTATAATAATTACAAAGAAAGTAGGGCGTTTCATTTTTTCAAATCACACCCATTCTAAAAAAGTTTTCACTTCAAAAAGTTAAATAAATAAATAAATTATTAATTAGAGTACATATAAATGACTTGATTTTTCTCAGTATTACAACTTTTGATGCTTCAACCATCCGTGGTGTATACGGAAGCCGAGCCACCATCTTTAAAATCATTAGTTACCGATCCATATATTATTTTAGCTGCTGGTACGCATATTTATTAATTATAATTATATTTAAAAAAATATTTATTTAATAATTAAAGAGAATTTATATAATTATTAATTTATATAATTACAGGTGCAATAACATTTGCAAATATGGGTATTGCTATGTTGGAACCAAGCTTACCTATTTGGATGATGGATACGATGGGTGCTAGTCGTTGGAAGCAAGGAGCAACATTTTTACCTGCGAGTATTAGTTATTTAATTGGAACTAATCTATTTGGTCCTCTTGGTCACAGAATGGGCAGGTAAAGTTAATCATTTATTCGAATTACGAAATCTACAAACAAATTTTTTTGCAATTATTATAAATTGAACAATAAAAATATATTTTAGTAATTTTGATATATAAATATAATTATTTGATTTGGAGTGAAAATATATAATAAATCAAAATTATTCAATTAATTATATCGAAAATCCGAACAAAACTAATTTTAAACTCGATCCTTACACCGGCCTGGATAGCTCAGTCGGTAGAGCATCAGACTTTTAATCTGAGGGTCCAGGGTTCGAGTCCCTGTTCGGGCGAATTTTTTTTTCTTTTTTTTCTCGTAATTCAATATCATTTATTATTAAATTTAGATATGTATATACTCACATATGCAATTTGTTATTAATAATTTGATTATTATAATTATTAAATCGCAAAATTTATTTTACAGGTGGTTAGCATCACTAATCGGCCTCGTTGTAATTGGCCTCTGTTTAATGTGTGTAAGTAGACAAATTTATGTTTAATATATTTATTAATTAAAATATTATATTATATTMTTTTATTTGTGGGGTTCAGCCAGAAAGAAATAAAACTGAAGATGATATAATATAGTTTATTAAATTATGATGATGTGATGTAGAGCGGTATTTACAAAAAGTTTACAAAAAAGTGGCGTGGTTACAACAATACAGAATACAAAAAAGTTATGAATATAAGACGGACTGACTGACTAATAAACTGATAAACTGACTGATAAAATACGCAGACGAATATAACAGACTGAAAGTATAATTATTAAACTGAGAACTAAGGACTAATACAGACGAATATACATATATTATGGAGGGTAGGAGGTAAGGAGTAACCTTCTCTGTATATGAAAAGTGTCCGTCGAAATCCAACCAATTCAGGTTGCGCCACAGGTAGCATCAGGGTAAATTTTAAAGGAAGCACCAAATATTATTAGAGTAGGATTGAGAAATAAACAAGAAAAGAAAAACTTCCGTTAAGTTATAGCGCGCTTTTCACAACACAAATTCTACCCATAACTGTTTTATTATTCACATACTTTTTCATAAAATTAAATTATAAAAAATCAATAAACGTACTATTCACAGTTCACGAAATAAAATCACTTTAGCAACACATTTTCTCATAATAATTCTTTAAGGTTATATTTACTACATTATTTTGTACTACACAAGTTGTAGAAATGTTCAATAATTAACTACTTTAGTCGCCAATAATATTAAATTTTTTAACTCGGCATACTTCAATTCGTTTACAATTGCTACATTCATACATACCTGGTACCTTCACCAGTGCCATTCTGGAAAGTTTTTGAACAAATATTTTCAGAAAACGCTGGACACTTTTTCACATTTTCTCCCATAAGAGATGTTACTCCTTACCTCTACCCTCCATAACAGATATACAGACTGATACAGATTAAGAACTGATAGACTAAGATTCACTTTCTTACTTTCTTTCACATATTTATATCATAAAAGAGTAACATACACACACACCCGTTTGGAGACGGAAGGAGATTATGAATATTACCGACCAATAGCAGAAGGATCCCCCTCCATAGTCAACCGATGGGTACAGCTTTTGTTTTTGATAAAGATCGTAGTGAAATCATGTATAAAGGAACTTCGTTTTTTAAACAACGGAATATCGTTTCCCCCCCCCCAATTTCCGAGTAGAATATCCTGTTACTAAGATCGATAGCATAATCAAATAGGAAATAAAATAAAGAAAGAACTAAATATTAATTTTATCGTCTACGATAGCGTATTTAAACAGGAAATAAAATAAAGAAAGAACTACATATTAATTAATTTTATCGTCTACATATTCTATGAAACTATTATATAATAAATTAAAATAAATAAGAGAATTGTATGAAAATAATAGAATATTTTGTTTCATTTGTAGATACCTCTAGCTACCAGTATCAATCATTTAATAATTCCTAATGCTGGATTAGGATTTGCAATTGGCATGGTAGACAGTTCTATGATGCCAGAATTAGGATACTTGGTAGATATTAGGCATTCTGCTGTTTATGGTAGTGTTTATGCTATTGGAGATGTGGCATTTTGTTTGGGCTTCGCTATAGGTAAGAATTAATAAATAATTAAATAAAAATAACAAAAAATTGTATTCAATAAATATTAAATAAAAAAAAAGAAATTGCATCGGCCGGGAATCGAACCCGGGCCGCCCGCGTGGCAGGCGAGCATTCTACCACTGAACCACCGATGCTTCTTATTTAGACAAAAACGATAGTGAAATAAATGTTAGAAAGAATTAATAGCCCTATGATTCATTGATTAATTATAAATTAATAATTATAATTTGTTTATTTAGGACCTGCATTAAGTGGAACGCTGGTTAATACTATAGGATTTGAATGGATGCTCTTTGGAATCGCTATTTTGAATTTCCTATACGCTCCTTTAATGTATTTCCTCAGAGCACCACCGACAAAAGAGGAAAAGAAGGTATGTAATAAATATTTACACTTTAGTCTTACGATTTATGCGAATTATTCGTTCCATGTGGTAATTTTTTTTTATTTCACAAATTATTCATTAAATGAAGTCTTTCTTTACACGCGAAAAAAAACGAATTCAAATTCCGTAAGAAAAAAAAATCCCAAATAAATTTGATTTGTTGTCGTTAACAAATAATATTTATAATTTATAATTAATAAGTATTATATATATATCTAATCTCCCCATGTTGCCGGTACCACTTAAGATATAAAAGATATTCCTTTATTCGACAAGTTACTATTTATTACAATTAGAGTAAAATAACAATTCACAATCTCTCACACTCATTCTGACCTCAAAAAACGTATGAAACCCGCGAATATCCGCAATTTTACCGCAACTCGCTACTCACTCTCTAATTGCACATATCGTATCGCTTTTTGTCATTCGCTCTGATCACTCGGTTCTCCACACGCTTCCACACGCGCGACTGCACTCTCCTTTTTTGTTTCTGCCCCCACCCTGCATCCCTGATGGATGAACCATCATCCGTATCGTTCTCGAATTTTTCCAACGTCCGGCTCGGTCTAATAAACAAAGCACCGATATCGCTCAAGAACCTTCTAGATTCACACAGACTTGCACACACAACTTACACAATTTACAAAAAATAGACCACGCATCGTCTTTCTTTATTTCGACCATCGGGTCCTTTTTCCCTTTATTCCTTCGTCGCCTATCCACTTATCTATGTTTACTCTTCGACACAACTTAAAACTCCCCTACATATATATGTGGAATTCCCCTTCTCCTGTCAGTCTTCTGAAAGGATATCTAACAAATAAAAAGGAAAGAATTCCGTGATGTTGTCAATAGATTGATACAAAAGAAAAACCTTTCTTCACGGATATGCAATATATTTAACACATTCACGACCGGCATATTTTTTCTAATTCTTATACTAAGTACCGGCAAAAATAATGAAATTTTGAAAAAAAAAAAACAATAATTTTTACATATATTCTATATATAAATAAATAAATATAAGATTAAATTATTTAAATTTATATTTAAATAATAAAATATAATAATATAATAAAATATAATTATTTAAATATTATATATAATATTATATAAATTATTAGGTTATTAACTATGAAATGTCTGATTACTCGGATTATTTTCATCTCGAAATCAGACATTTCATATTTAATGACCTAATAAAATAATATAATAATATATAACATTTAATTATATTATAGTATATAATATTTAAATATTATATTTAAATAATTAATATAAATTTTATTTATATAAAATACAAATAAAGTAATAATAAAATAATAATAAAAATAATAATAATTATAAAATAATATAAATTTATATAATATATAATATATAATATATAAATTTAGTTTTATTAAAATTTTTAAAATGTAAAATGACGTGAATCACGTTAGCGGCAACTAAGAATAGAACTTGAAAAGACGTGAATTCACGTTCAACGGTCGTGAATGTGTTAATATAAATGAAATAAAAATACAAAATAATGATATAATAAACCGTATCCTCTGATTGGCTACTAAACAATAACTGCCTCTTGGTTTCTTTTCTTTAATCTACTTCTTTGTGCGACGCTTTCGCTATCGATATTCAGCTATTTATTTTACATTGTTTGTCTTCCGTTTGATCATACCCGATACTCTCTGGCCCACCCATGCTTCAGTGTTCTCACTTACACTCTCACACCCCACGGATATATATATGTAGGGAATTTTATTAAGGGTGAGAGGTGCGAGGTGAACATACACCCAGTTTAATCCTACTAATAATATATATTTAAATTAGATATTAGAAAAAGTACAATAAAAACATCATATGTGCAGATCACACGTGTTAGAAGTGAAACCTTCCAAAAACTAAGTTTCAAGAGAATCAGACGAATGCACAGTTTCAAGAATAAGATAACTATAGGATTTATTTAATTTAATATTATTACCATATATAGCAAAGGGCACTGGTATGGTCTCTGGGTTGGATAGTTGATAAAAAGTACACTTTTTCAAATTCAAGCAATAAAAATGGAATGCTGAATGCAATAGTCATAGATAGAACCAAAATCGTAAAATATTTATCGAGGGAAATATAATGTGTCGTAAACTAAGTAAATATAGAATATCCTTTTAGTAAAACTCAGATATAAAATTTTATTTGTTAGGATAGTTTTCGATTTCTCACTTTTATCTACATTTTTGGGCTGTCTAAAAAACATTTTAGGAATGACGAAATAAAGACGTTATGAAAAACAAATGGAAAATACTACTGGACTGAAAGAAGGTTCTAGTGCAAATGTAATGAGAGATCTAATAGAGATCTTTTCTAGAAATGATTTTTCAACTCCATAGCCTGCCACACTTTGAGACCCTTATTATTTATAACATATCTCGTTTTTATTCTTTGAACCACAAACTTATCTTCTCTAAATACTCTCGTCTAAATAAAGATCTGAACAACGAAAAATCTAAAGAACGCATTGAATCGTATCGCTCTCTCAGCTTATCGATCTGTGTAAACAACGAGTCTCGAATTTGGGACCCGTGGTAAACTCCAGCAATTCACGCTGGGTGTTCAGCCTGTTAAAAATGTTTTTATTTGATTAAAAAATTAAAATAAATTTCTTTATTACGTGAATATTATAATGAATAATATAATTTTCTTATATGCCTGGTTTAATACATGTCTTTGGATATTTTTTATAAAAACATATAAAAATTAAATTTAATAGACATATTTTGTCTTTATGAATTAAATATATTTTATGAAGAAGCAAAATAAAAATGTGACAGTAATTTACTTGCTTTTGAATGGAATTTGTCAGCTGTTAATAATATATTCTACAGTATTCTCTAATTCTTTTTCTCTGATGTATCTTGTAATCATTCTTTTTTGTAAAATATTGCAGACAATACAATTATTATATATTCTATGTACTTCATAATTATTTATTATAATATTTGCGAAATGAAGAATTTAATACTAATTTTTCAATAAAATAGAAACATTTTTAAATAGAAAAGATATGACACGTTTTGTAAAAAAAAACTACAGGCATGAACATTATCGCATCGATAATAAAGATTATGAATATAGATCGAATTTCAACGGACCTTCCCTGTTTTTTATAATTCTATTCTCATAAAAAGGAACCGGCTTTGGGGTGTAGGTAGCTGACAAAAACTAACATTTTCAAAATTCTATCTATCAAGATGGAATGCCGAATGCGATAGATATAGATAGAAACAAAAATGGTAGAATGCTTGTCGGTGAAAGATACCTTGTCCTAACCTAAGTAAATATAATACATCCTTTTTTGTAACTCAGGTAGATGAATTTTTTCTTTCACACTTTTCACACTTTCTGTGAATTTGAGATATCTTTATTATGGGTTAACATACACAAGTATTTCTTTTTGTGTTGTAACTAATACCTATAGATGCTGTAACAGAATGGAACAATTGTGGTGGTATTTTGTTCGTTTCATCGGAGTTTGAGATAGAACGATTTTAAAATCTATTTTTTATTTCCGTCGTTTTATTTTATAATTTTTAAAATTAAAAAAATTTTTTTTTCTATATTTTAAAAATAAGTTATATTATTTTATTTTTATTGGAAATATAATAGTAAAATAGGTTTATTTGTTTGTGTCACGTGTCCAGTTTCTACTATTTAAAAGCTTTTCTATTTTATTGAAAAATTAGTATAAATTTCCTAAATACGCAAACATTATAATTAAAAAACATGTCTTTGGATATTTACAAGAAAAATATTCTACAATGTTATCTAATTCTTTTTCTCTGATGTATCTTGTAATCAATTTTTTTTTTCTGAAATATTTCAGACAATACAATTATTATATTCTATATATTCTATAAATAATAATTATAATATTTGCGAAATAAAGAATTTAATATTAATTTTTCAATAAAATAGAAATATTTTTAAATAGAAAAGAAATGACAAGTTTGGTAAAAAAAAACAGACCTCGGCACCTTCTTTTTTTATTTCGACCGTCAGTTTGTTTGTATCCTATTCTTTTGTCGAATACCTACGTGCTTATCTTTGTTTATTCTTCTACCCCTCTATTGCTCCTACCTACAAACATTTCGAGTATCGAAATAATATGTGTCCACGCTTTGTACTATGCAGTCGTACACAACACACACATATACAACCAGGAGCGATACTACGAAACATAGCATAAAGAGGAGACCGAGAATAGGAAATTCTGTCTCATTCTCTCGCAGGCTCAATCCTATATGTTTGTCTCTTTTTCTCTTCTTACTAAATATGTTGGCCGTTACAGAGCCGCTCACCGCTCTGTTGCATTGCCGTCGTGTTTTAATTTTTCAAATCACTCCCTATTCTAAAGAAGTTTTCACTTCAATAGTTTCACAATCTTACGATTACAACGTAGATAAGCGACTGCACTCTTATAACCGATAACGACTTATATTAACTGCGATTGTTACGACTGATTTACTGATTACGACCGAATATAAACTGATAACTAACTGAATAATGAACTAACCACTACCTCAATCCATGTCCCTTTATTTTCATCCGCATCGTTCTCGAATTTTCCAAATATCCGTCTCGATACGATTAACGAAACATCAATATCGCTCGAGAACCTTTTAGATTTAAAAGGCTTATAAAGAACAGACCACATACTGTCTTTCTTTATTTCGAATATCGGTTCCCTTGTTCTTTATTCTTTCGTCGCCTACCCGCTTATCTATGTTTATTCATACACTCAAAAACTCTCCTACATTTATAGTATACCAAATATATATAATATTTGTAAATTATATTATATTATGGTATTGTATATTATATTATATTTTAGCATTGTATATTATATTATATATTATATATTTTTTTTTATTTATTTATTTAATTATTTTTATTTTATTTATTTAATTATTTATTTATATTATATATATTAGGGTGGGTCAAAAAAATCAATTATTTTTTTTTACAAGTGACACGGAAAAATGGGTTGCTAGACACCTTAAAAGAATTCTCTCCAAATATGAGCTTTTAATTTTAATTTTAATTAAAATATTCAGAGACAAAAATCAGTACACCTGAAAGTTTGATGATGAATATCTTTTGAACGCTTAATTTAATCGCCAAAACATAAGACACCATTTTTATAGAGCAGTTAATTTCCTACAAAAATTTGTATTGTGAACTTTTTAATAGTCATTTATTGTCGAGTTATAAAATTCATAAACAAAAGGAAATTTGTCTAAAAATCATCAAATTTAAATCTTCAATATCATTCAAATGGTGAGGTTTACGAAAAAAATATAAGATACCTTTCTTGTAGAGCATTAAATTTCCTACAAAATTCGTCTTGAACATTTTTCTGTAAAATCAATAAATAATGAGGTATGAATTTTATTCTATTAGACTGACAAAAAAAATAAACTGCGATGCGGAAGATCTTCCTATTAAAATTAAGAGCTCATATTTGGTGAGAATTGTTTTAAGGTGTCTAGCAACCCATTTTTCCGTGGCACTTGTAAAAAAAAAAAATAATTGATTTTTTTGACCCACCCTAATATATATATATATATTTGAATATATTGGAATTGTTATTTTTGAAATAATACTATATTGTTATTATTATTATTATTTAATTTATAATGTTAATATTAAAAAAATTACATTACAGTCGTTGATAATTGGCGAAAAATCGTCCGTGCGCTACGTAACGTACCAGAACGAAGAGGATGATCAATAAATCATGCAACACAATTGGCATAACTGTGACGCTTTAAACCACGGTAAATCTTTTTTTCTTTTTTTTTAATTAACTTTACTCTCTCTCACTCACTCTCTCTCTCTCTCTCTCTCTCTCTCATTATCTCTCATTCTCTCTCTCTCTCTCTCTCTCATACTTTCTATCATTTTATTAATATTTTGTATTTATTTGTATTTTCTTTCTTGTTTTAGTCTTTTAATTAAAATGTTTAACAAACAAACAACGTAGTGAAACCAAAAAAATTCTACATCTATCCGAACTCCTATATCCTTTTATTCTATTTGCAATTTTTGTTTAAAACTTTGTTTTTTAGATAATAATAAAATAATTATTTATCGAAGAACAAAATGGCAGAAAAATTAGAAAACAATTCAAATGAAATAATCGCGATAATATTATTTTGAATTTCTTCGAATTAAACGCGCGCACGAATTGATCCAAATAACTTCTACTCTTGGTATATATATACAGATTACATATATACATAGGAAATTAGATAAGCATAAGTGTATAAATCCATATATATATGCATAACGCATACGATAAACAATATATATATATATGTATACATAATTGACAAAATATGTAGGCGGGAATATTATATTATTAAAAAATTATTCAAAAAATTACGCAATAAGAGTTCAAGCATCGATATCTTAGAGATGATAATATAAATAAACAATATATATGTATATGTATCATGTTAGGACAATATATTTCAGCTGTTTAAGCATTTTCATTAAAATAACGAGAACAACAGGAATGAATAAAATCAAATAAAATAACAAAATTGTTTGGAGATATCGCAAAAGTATCATCCTGAATTTTTGAGAGTGTTTTTTGAGCAACCTGATGAGGCTAGAAAAACGACGCAATGAAATTTCTTCAATGTAAAAAAAAAAACAAAGGCTTTATCTTGATAATTAGAATTGAATCATGAAAATATTCGTGTCGATTTTGACATATAATTTACGTTTTCAAATAAATCGTCACGAATTATTTTTCAATCGATTCTAATTCATTTGTAATAAGAAGGATCAAACAAAAAAAATAAATAAACAAAAAACTAACATGTTATACCGTAAGAATAAGTGTGTGCGTTCACGAAACATCGTTTAAATTGAAATATATGAATGTTTGTTATATTATGCAAGAACAAAAAAATATTGTCACATATTTATTAGTATTATTATTATTATTATTAATTAATACGATAAATGTTAAAAATACAAAAGTTACGCGCATATATATTATCTGAAATTTAGATCATTAAAAGATGCGAGTGTATTTGTTGTATCGTAAAATTAGAGGGTTGATTAATGTAGTATTAGAATAGAGCAACAATAAAAAAAAAAAAAATAAAAAAATAAAAAAAAAATAAAAAAAAGAAGATAAATAAAACGCGTTTATCAGAACGCAAATGAATTATTTTAATTTCTTTTTTTTATAATTTATTTGCAATTCGTTTATCTATTTTTGTTTTCTCAGGTAAATTTTCTATAAGCTCGAGATTAGAATTGTACAAAATTTATTTGATAACAAAAATACGATAACAGGGGGAATCACCTAATTTGGATTTCCTGAATGGCTGCAGGGAAACCGTGCGAATTGAAAAGCGATTAGGTACGATGAAGTATTCTCTAATTATTAGAAATAATAATAATAGAATTTTATATATGATTAATATAAATATTGAATAAAATGTTGAAAAACAATTCTTAATTCTCGAGCGAGAAAATTCTAAGAGAAAATAAAACTCGGTTTACCAAACTTCGAGAGTCTTATATAAAAAAAGAAAAACATAATATATATATATTAAGAGTAAATAATACTAATACATATACATATTCATAAACATATGCATATATTGATGAACAAAGATGCAAGAAAAAAAAAATTTTGACGAGTTTCCAAGATGTAGAAGAGGAATATATATATCTATATATATTTTCATATATATGTAAAAATATTGTTAACATTAATATGTTAATATGATTATTTTATTAACATATTATTATTAACAACATTAATTTGAAAAAATATTTAAAACATATATATGTAAATATATATATATATGTATATATTTTCTTGATATTCACGATCGTATCTCGAAAAAAAAGTCCCTCGAAATTTGTAAGGGCTTAGGTTTCGTATTTTCGATTATTTTCTTCTACGGGGGATTCCCTTGGAGTACTTTCGTGAAAGTCCTCTTTCAAAGATGTGTAATCTTACTTCGGCTTCAACGTAAACGAATAAGAATAAGAAGAAAATGAAGAAATAGAAATATTTCAAAGATTGAATTATAAGAGATATGCTAACAAAAAATTAAAAAATAAAATTAGCATGCGAGACGTTCGCGAAAATAGACGAATTACATGAAAAAACATTATGTGAATTCGCGACGGAAAATTCTAGATGGTATGGAATTACAAATAATAATTATAATAAATTATAATAATCGTTATAATAAATAATATAAAACCGTGTTTGTGGGATCTCGAAAGAAAAAATATTAGAACGTTCGTAGAAGCAATACAAAATTAAAAAAAAATTGTAATTAAATAATATTATAAAAATATATATATATATATATATTAATATTTAATACATATATACAAACATACATATTTACATAAATATAATCTTATGTTTCAAATAAAGAACTCTGTATACGTGAGCGTTAAATGTAAAAGTGATATACGTATGTATGTAAAAATATATACGTGTAATAAAATAGATAAATTAATTATATATATAAAAAAAATAAAATAAATATATATATATATATAAATGTTAGAAATGTATTCAAGAGCTTTAAGCAAGGCACAAAAAGGTTAACCATCGTATATTTATTACACTAATGTAATTTAACAGATGTGAAATCTGTTGTAACTTTCATAGTACTCGTTGAGATCCTAAGCTACCGTATATCGAGTAATTAATTAGATTAGTATTGATTAAAATGATTAGAATGGTGATATAGTGTTTGCCCTAATGAAAATGCTGATATACATAAATATATATGTATATATAAATATTAATATTAACACAAACACACAATACATATTATACAACTATAGGAACGTGATATATTATAAACAAAAAATAATGCTTAATAATTTAAGAAATTATTTAAACAAATAAATATATATCTTTCACGCGTGTGTTAGTGTGTCGTTCTTTTTGTCGTAGTATAGTCGAGAGACCCACGGTTAAAAATAATTTTAAAAAAAGAATTGAGAAGGTTACAAAGATCAAAAATCAATGTTTCTTGCGTGTTAACATTTGTTTCTTTGAATCTTTTGAAAATTAATTATGTTAGTAATTACGATAGTGGATTTAGAAAAAAATTGTTTAATTCAAATTTTAGTATTTTTAATATTTCGTCATTTATTTTATTAAGAAAATATTGAAAAAAATTAATTGAAAAAAAAACAACAAAATTATAGAAATAATAAAGTTATTCTTTTTTTATGTAAGATTAAAATTTGATTTATTTCATACTTTTATTTTAACAAAGAAAAACAAATTCTAACAAAGAAAAAAGATTTTTTTTCCTGTTAGAATATTAGAATAATAATTTTAATTTTTTTTTTATACAAAAATTTATTATTCTAAAAAAAAAAATAAAATAATTCATTTTTTTTCTGTCAGAACATTAGAATAATAATTTTAGTTTTTTTTTTTTATACAAGATTAAAATAAATTATATTATTAACATATATATTTTTGATTGAATTAACTGTTATAATTATCAACAGAATTAAATTATGTTCGTTTACATCGCGAGACACATTGTGTGAGGATAAGAAAGAGAAATAATATTTCTAATAAATTGCCTACAAATTCCCGTTGCGGATTCGGAAATCCACGAGGTCACGGTTTCATTGCTGTGAACTTACTCCCGGTACGAAACGCGAGTCAATTCAATTCGTGATTTAAATTTCGCGAACGTCCCGCTCCATTAACTCTTAATGTTTCAACAAAATAAACAAAACATGGATGATTAAATGATTAATAAATTGATGATCCAAAAAATAATACAATGAAAACGTGTAACAAGAAATCTTTTTGCGACAAAATAAAAAGAAAGACAGAAAGAAATGGAATGGAAACAACATTGATAAAAAATCGAAATCGTTTGGCGATTTCCAGAACTCGAAAATGAAAATGTGTTAAAAATGAAAAATATATTTGAATGTGAAAAATATATAAAAGGAAAATAAGATGAGATAATTGTTTATGTGCTACAAATGGAAACGAATAATAAAAGAAGAAAAATAAATAAATAAATAAATAATAGTAAAGAAGAAAAGGAAGAATGATGGTTAATAGAATTCATTCTATAAATCGTTAGAAGAATCTATGTATATACATAGATAAATACATATTTACTTAAATACGAATACATAAATGCATACTGATGTGTATTTCATTGATAATTTATTTCCTTGTATATATATCTACAAAAAAGATACTATATCATTAAATATGAAATATCCGATTTTTAATTGAAATTAATCTGACGTTTTATACTTAATGATTTAATAATATAATAAAGACGTATTATATTTAACTCATTTGCATCATATGAAAAAAAAAATTGAAAAATTCATTCTCATCACGAAAATTTTTCTTTTTTTTTTTTTTATTGTATGCACTTAAGTGATTTGCTTAACAGTGAAGTGCGTGCAAATGCACAGTGCAGTGCACTTATGGTGCAAATGGTTTAAATGATTTATCTTCTTCATATTTCTTATTTGATATTTTAAAAGAATTGGTGACAGTGGCCAAATAAAATGGGCGCATATATGCGCTTATGATGCAAATGGGTTAATGGACGATTTATAATGGAAATACTGCCGCCGCTGAGATACCTTCATGTCGGATGTTCTCGCAAATTCTTCTTTTCAATCCCTTAGAAAACATTTGGAAAGTTTTTCCTAAAAGATTGTATCGATTACAAAGAAAATACCGACTGAGAGAAAAAGAAAATGAAAGAGAGAGAAATACAACAATAGAGTATTCTATAATTAATTAATTAATTATTAGAAAGGTGTATAATTTATTAGAAAATTAATTATTGTTTGTGTTGTAATATGATCTTTTTTATATTGTAGAATTGCAATTTCATTAGTTTCAATAATACTCTATAAAAAAATAGAACAAGAATAGAACTGTAGATGTGATATTGTTGCTATTTGTTTGTATTTTTCTTAGAATACAAATTTCATTGGTTTCAATAATATTCTGCAGGAAAAAAAGGCATGAAATAGAACTACAGAAGTGAATACAGTTGATATTTAATTATGTTTCTGGGTTTCGTAAAATAAAAATTCTATTTATTCCTATATTCTTCTGCAGAAATAAATAGAAAAAAAATTGACAAAGTGTGCCATTTGTTTCTGTGATTCGTAGGATACAAATTTCACTGGTTCATATGATATATAGAAATGACGAAAACTGCTAATCGATTTTATATTTTACGTAAAATAAACAATTTCATTTGTTCTTACAATATTTAAAATTATTTTTCTTATTATTTATATTTATTTTTATTCTTATATATATATGTCTTCATTTATTTATTATTTATTATTAATTTTTATTTTTTTTTATTTAATATTTATCTTATTATATATAAAATTATTTATCTTATTTATTCATAGAATACAAATTTTATTCATTCCTATAATATTTTGAAAAAAAAAAAAAACAAATAGAAAAGAAAATTTTAAAAAATATTAAACTAATAATAAAGTTCAAAGTTGTTTTCGTAGAATAAAAATTGAATTAGTTGTTAAAAATATTAATGAAAAATTATTTTTCGTCTATTCTATTTCTTCCTCTCTCTCTTTCTTTCTTTTTTTATTCACAATATTTATAACATTCTCAGGACGATTAGGAAAAGTCATATCGATGGATAAAATGTTTCTATCCAATGGTTATAACATATGGAATAAATGTGTGAGGGTGCGTGTGTGTGTGTGTAAAAAAAATTCTAATTGAAAGAAAGAAAAGAAAGAAATTTATTTCTAAAGAAAGGAAGAAAAGTAATCGTGTGCATGTTCAATGTATTTTAATTGATAAACGTCATAAAATCGGCATTACTTAGCCGAAATTCATTATTCGAATTGCCGATGCAATCAAAATGCGATAAAACAGATAAAATATGAATGAAAAACCGTCGAGAGATACATGAAGTGTACGTGTGCTACGACGGTAAAAATCATATCATTAACATTTACATAAAAAAGAAGAAAACCAAACGCAAAATTACATGCATTACAAATCTTATGATAAACAAATATATCAACAATGGCAAATGATTCCTTAATTAATTATTAAATCAATTAAAATCAATTAATCAAACTAAATCAACTGAAATCGAATTAAAATCAAATCAATATTTTTTTTTCATTTCATAGTTAAAATCGTCAAAAATTTAAATTGGGTAATTGAAAAAATATTTAAAAGAAAAATAAGAAAATAAAACAAAACAGTTGTTCTATATTTAATTATTTAATTAATTTATATTTACAAAAAAAAAAATAAAAAACAAAAAATAGAAAATATAGAAAAATTAAATACGAAATTTGTTATATAAATAAATAATTACAAAATTTTTCGGTTCGCTTAAATTTTCCTCGTAGATCATAGTTCAATCTGAAAGTCAAAGGTTCGCCATTACTGCATTGCATTCGTATGATATGATTTAATTAATAACTAATTAATTAAAATTTGGATTAGTAATTATTAATATATATTATTACAGAAAGAATTTTTTGTTTATTAAATATTTTTAGAATACTTTTTTTTATTATAATTTTAATTTTACTAAAGTAATATAATTTATAAATGTAAAAATTTTGATAATTGACAAAAATTATTTTGAACTTTTGCATTGATAAATTTAATCATAGACCTGCTATAAATAAAATTCACTAATTTTTCATTTAATATTGCAATTAATCGTATCATATTATTAAACAAATAATAATAATAATAATAATAATAAAAAACTTGTTACTTTTGCATCTTCACGCTGTCTCTCGACAACATACAAAATAATCCCAAAAGAAGCATATTTACAAAAGTCTAAAAAATAAAAAAAAATAAATAAAAAGGATAGAAAAAAGAAACTAAAAAAAAAAAAACCATAAACAAGAAAATCTTTCACAAAGGATCGTCGTATCGCACGTATTATTTTAAAATGAAATATAAAGCAAAAAAAAAAGAATTATTTGAAGAAAAACATTTTAGCGAGAGTTACTCGTCGCGTTGGCTGCTATTGTGAACAGACAATAAGCAATGAAAGAAAAAAATATAACGATATTTAAATAAAAAAAAAAAAAATTACAAATAAGCGCTGAAACATTTCCTACATTTCTAAATGAAGGAGAAGAATCTGTATTCCGTATATTGTTATTTAATAATATTTTTTATTTATGTTTTACGATTGTTGCTTGCGCGGAAATGTATATCAATTTTTGTGATAAACAAAAAGAGGAAAAAAAAATATGAAATGATATTAATCATATCGGTACATTATTAATGTATCGAATCATTAAACAAACAAACAAACAATATAACGGATATTCCAATAATTGATCGACGCTTGTGTCAGTGTGTGTGTATACTAACATAAAATATAGTTTTCTTTCCCTTTACTACCCCCATCATCCACCTCTTACTTAACATTTTCTCAAATATGTATTAATCATTATCAGAGCACTAATCTAAAAGTGTTTCTAAACAATCCTATCGTTGTATCGTTGTATCGTAGTAGTGATATGTATTTAACCAGCTGGTGTATGGGCCCGACTTTACGCCTGTGTAATTGTCGATAATTAAAACAAATACAAATAAAGTAAATCAATTATAGGCGAGAACTAATAAAGAAGAAAAAGATGATGATGATGATGATGATAATGATAATGATGAAGCAGATATAAAAAAACATTTACAAGAAAGAGAGAGAGAGAGAGAAAAAGAAAAAAAAATACAAAATGAAACTATAAAATGCTCATGTAGGTATGTCTTACATTTTTAATTTATTTTTTCGTTTTGTCTTTTTAGATAATAACAGGAAATGATTATATCGATAGTAAGATATATGTAAAAAAATATGTTTTGTGAAAGATAATGATGAAATTTGTATGTCGAATCTGAAAATCGCCAAATAAGTTCGTTGAGGATCATCAAACAAACGTGTATGTAAATGGGAAGGATATTTTATGGGGGCTTATTGAGAACGTTTAAAAAATTCTACTCGTGTAGATAGAGTAGAATAATGTCTTGTTAAAAAGATTTAAGAAAAATCTTTTGTAAAAGTAGCATCAATCGAATGGTAATTTTCTGAGACAAAGAAGACACAAATAATAATAATAATAAATAAAAAGAAATGAAAGTGAGAGAAGAAACCGACATTTTAATAATAATGTTTGAAATATTAATATTAATATACATAGCTTATAATATACATAAAGTTACGAAGGGGTCAAATCTGTAATCTAATGCAACGTTTGTTCTAATTTATGTATGCCGCATCTATGTGTATATGTTGTAATATTAATATGGTAATATATAATGTAACGAATAAATAAATGTAATAAAAATTCTATCACCTTTTTCTTATTTTTTTTCTACCCCTATTATAACTTTAATTAATAAATAATATTAATAAATAAATTTATGGTAATTGTAAATAAATTATGGTAATTTAATTAATTAATAAATAATAAATTATATTATTTTTATGTTAAAATTTCAGTTAAATTCAACTATTGAACATGACGAATAAAATAATTGTAATAAAGATAAAATTATTTATAGTTTTTGTTTCTCTTATCAATTTTGATTATTTTTATGACTTTATGATAAGCTCTTAATTATGAATTAATGTTCTTATTATTATTTTATTTTATAATTAATAATATTTTATCAGATTAATTATTATCGTTTTATAATATAACTATGGCTAAAAAATTTTAGTTACATTAAAAATTGTTATTCAAGTATTTAAAATAAGTATTTAAATATATAATACTTACATATCTGAATAAATTAATTTTATTTTTTTGTTATTTTTGATTAACTTCTTTTAAATTAGACGATTTTACACGAGTCAAAAGTTCTTTCGGTAAATCGTCCAAAACAACTTCTCCTTTAGAAATCTTTTTCATATAATTTAACACATCTTTCATTGTGTTCATTGTTCGATGAAATTCCTCTGATTAGTTAAATAAAAATTAAAAATATTGAAATCAAATTTTTCGTAGCAAATTATTAATAAACATTTTTACCAATTTCCGGATATTCGACTTGAGATGCAATTTTCGAAGATTCTGTTGTTTCGGCTGATTTCATTTTCTTGAAAATATTCTCATCTGTAATAAGTGTATCAAAATTATATAAAGTGTCTTGTAATTAGTGAACAGGAGTCGATTTTACATGAAAAACTAAGTTAAAATGTAACATAAAATTTGTTGTAAGAGAAACAAAAAGTTAGCTTGAAAATCTGTTGTTACAGGACATTTTATATATTATTATTAACACAATTTTATTTATAATAAATTAGTTATAAGTATAAAATTTTGTTTATTATTTAATTACCATAAATTTGATTTTTCGGTAGAATTAATTCACTTCGTTTTACAAGATTATCAATGTCTTTAACCCTTTGATTCGTTCTTTCAAGAAGAATTCTATTTAATTCTATACGTTTCATCAAATTTGTTAATTGAATCTGCAAAATTCGAATAACAAAAAGATCAAAAATAAATACAAATAATTTATTTATACTAAACTATTGTCAAACACTAAAATTAGTATAAATATTAGTAAAAAATAAAACTTTGAATAGTTGAGCAACTTTAAAATCTGTAGCGCGCGAAATTTGAATTCAAAAAATGACATTTGAAAATAAAATTTAGAATAAGTTGTTGTTTTTAATTACTTACGTCTATTTCCGTCGATTCATTCTTCGCTTTTACAAAAGAATTTCCCTCGATCGTATCTTCAACCGGAATTTTATTTAAAAATGTAAAAGGTTCAGTCGGATTTTCTTGTGCTCTTTTCAAAGAATCTTGTAAATTTTTCAGCTTTATTTTATCAACGTCGCAAAGTGAAAATGAAGATTTTTTAGAACCAAATAATTTTTCATAATTTCCTTTTTCAACAATAATTTTATCCAACGATTCAGAGGTTATCTTATTTTTTAAACTACAATAATTCTTCATTATTAAAAATTTAATTTAAAAAAAAATATATATATATGCATAAAATAATTTTATAATCGTTATTAATATTACCTAGTTTTATTTTTGGATTCCATATTATTTTAAAATAGTTAATAACGTTTAAGAAAATACAAAACCTCAATTAAACTAACCCCGAGTTTGTATCTATGAAGATTAAATTCGTTTGATCAATAAATTTTCCTTCAGTACAATATTAAGAATAAAAATAAGATACAATAAACTAATAGTTAATGAGAATACTAATAGTTAAATGCTAATAGTTAATTAGAATACAATTGCATTTATGGAAAATTAGATCTAAATTTTGTATAAGAATAAAATTTCGATTATAAATAAATCACTGTAAACGAAAAAAGTTGATATGAGATAAAATAACAATATATAATACGTAATATAATTTGATTTTTTTTTTTTTTTAGTAACGCATATATAACCCACATTCTTATAAATACAGTAAAACGATATATTATACAATTGATGATGAAATTAGAGAACTATTTATTATCTAATGCTTATATGATTAGTTGTACTTACAAAAGTATTATTATTTTTAATAATAATAATAATAATATTATTATTATCGATATTATATTTTTATCATCTCAAGGAAAAAAGAAATTGATAAAGACCAAAAATAATAATTACTATAATAATACGATTACGAAGCAAATATCTTATTAAATATAAAATGATATGAGATATAATTTATAATGTTGATTTGAGCGAATTAATCGACACATACACATACACATACATACATGCGAAAAAAATGATTATTCGTTAGCTTTTATATCATTTGAAATAATATAAAAATTGAAGATATTTATCTTTTAAATGCTAACGATAACAAAATAATTAGTAGCAGCCAGAACAAGTAGCAAAAAAATAATTAATTTAATTTTGATCATTTTTCAAATCGTCTTTGACTAAATATTTTTCTATGGGAAAGAAGAAGAGAGCAACATTTTTAATAGATAATTGCAAATAAAAGAAAAAAACTATGTTAATTATTATACACTACTGCTTGAAAATCAGTCTTTTACATATGAGAAATAATTAAGTGTTAATAGTAATTAATTACATTAGCATAAATCTTCTTTTAATATATAGAAAAAAAGTAAATGATTTTAAGCATCATAAGCATGAGAATTTCCTTAAAATAATAATAAAAATATTAAATATGCTGCTGTTACTGCTGCTTCTGCATCTTCTCACAAATGTAATATTTTGTCCTATCATTGGAACCTAATTATCAGACAAGAAAAAATTGCAAAACTAAATATATATATGTATATAATTTAACAATAAATTCTTCTCTATATTTATATCACAGTTATCTAGAAGTATATAAGTCTAGCATCTTCTGGATTTTGTTCCACAGGACAGTACGGGCATTTCAATCTAGAAATAAATAAGATTTGCTTTTATATAAAGTTAATTCGAAGTTGATCTACTTTACCTTCTCGTTATGCTAACATACTTGTTCGCATTGGTGAGCTTATTTAATGCATCCCTTGATATTACATGACCACAAACTAATTTCATCGGTGGATTATTTTCTGTACTTTGTTGCCGAAGAATCGGACATGCAAAAACAGAATGATAACGACTCTGTTTACCCAAATCTATTTCGATCTATATATTAAAGACAAAAAGAAATGTAAAGATCAATTTTAATGAATATTTATTAAGCATAATACTGTTAATTAGATTTACCGGAAGTTCATCTTTACCACTCCATATACCAGTTACTTGTCTTTGTTGCATGACCTGTTTAATATTAAGAAGAGCAGGAAGTGCGGTACATCCAGCATTGATACTATATAAAAAAAATATCTTTTCATAATCGTCGTTAGTAATTTTAAATTTGATCAACTTACCAAACAGAGAGCGGACTGTCAACGCTTAGGCCTAATAATGTACATGCTTCTTTAGTAAAAACATCATGAATGTCGAGCCATAATGTAGGATCTAATAAATGGCTATACGGAGATGATTCTATTCCGTTAGGTAAATAAAGTAATGTTCCCATTAAAGCCTGTACTTCTTTTTCATGACGTCCAACAAATTGTGTAAGATTTTGACGTGCATACATTATTGCTTCGGTTTGTTTTGTAGGTCCTTGTTGTACAAGTCTTATGAAATGTAATCTATGTAACTTAAATTCTAAAGATGAATTCTGTAATAATTTAAATTACATTTATTCTAAGACTAATCTTTTCTACTTCTTATATGTTAGGAATGAAATCGTATTAAAAAATTTACTTGCGCTAATAGGGCTTCTCTGTGCTTTTTAGCCCATTCAAGTGCAGGTTCTAAATTTCTTTGCTTCAAGCAATCAAGTATATAATTCAATTCTGTGAACGGTTCTTTCCTACCTTCATCGGTTTTAATTCCTGCTTCCTAAAATATTTCTAATTATATTCAACAATATGAAAATAAACATATGATTGTACACTTAAGTATTGTGTTAACAATATTTCTATACGTAATCTACTTTCAACTTCATTTAGAATGTTTTATTATTAATTAGATAAATATCATTTAATAATGAGATAAGATTAGATAAGTATTTTAATATTGAAATAAAGAAACGTTTTCATAATTAATTAAAATATAGAAATACGTTAAATGATATTAAATGATGAATAATGAGATGCAACTTCAATTATAGGTTATAAATTTACTGTTGCTAATTCATCTGCGATATCCAGCATTCCTTGACGGTAGAAATGTTGGCAGATAACTTGATTAAGAAGGTGAGATTTTTCTGGACCAGAAAATACATCTTCTCTACTCGTACTTGCAAAATCAGCAATAAAATTTCTATCAATAGCTTTTCCCACTTTTGATACTGTACTGTGTAAGTCTCGGTGATCGGTAGCCAAACGTTGTACAATATCACGAACCTTTGACATTGCCTGTTTTAACACTTGCACTTGACCTGGTGTTAATTCATGATCAGGTGGTGCTAAGAAAAAGTAATATAATAATTCTTAAATTACAATTGAATTTCAATTAAATTTCAATTAAATTTCAATTAAATTTCAATTAAATGTCAATTAAATTTCATTTATATAACCTTTAAATGTATACAAACAAGTTTAAATGCTAATTACTAAGATGTCATTTTAAAGAGGTTATAAATGTCAAATATCGTTTAAAAACATAGACATTGAATTAAACTTCATTTTGTTCATTTTCAATAATCAATTTTGATATACAATCTATAAATATAATCTTGTCAAATTATACATAATATATGCTGAATCACAACAACAACACAACGAATCTGTCCTGAATCAAATCAAGGACATGATACATCATATAATATATAAAACGATAATTCTTACCTTCTTCTAATTCTTTTTTTAACGACTCACTGTGATTTATTAAATCTCGTAAAACTGTATCCGCATGTTCGTTGATAGCACCAAATTTTAATAAAACTTTGTCAACTTCACGTTCGACAGCATTACAAGCCTCCATTGTTGTTTGTCTTCAATATACTTGTGTCATTAGTAAAGAGAATACTGAATTCCGAATAAAAATAAACGTTGATCGAAGTACACTCTAGTGGTAAATTTTATAACTTATATTAAAAGATGGCTGGCTACTAAGAAATATATATTTAATTTTGGTAATGTTGAGGTTAACTCGTTGACAAAAGTTGGCAATACTGATTAAATGCGATTACTTTCTTCCGGCTTCGTAATGTAAGCTCACCAAAGTCGCCATTTGTAAAAGTTTCCTTGATCACTGAGCGTTGAGCACCAAGAAACATCCTAGGGAACGTTTGGAGAGGCTATATTTAAACCGTAAGAAGGATATAAAGTCTAAATACATATCAATATATATAATAATCTAAATTTTTTATTGATATGTTTTCCTAACTGAAATTCTTATCTAATTCAAATTACATATTTAAATAAACATATGTCCAAAAACATTATTTTATAAGCGACTTGAAAATAATATTTAATATTTCTAAGATGATGTTAATGAACATTGGATAGAATCGGATATTATCTATGATAATAAAAATAGTTATACAATTATTTTAATTATTATTATTATATTATTATTATTGTTGTTGTTATTATTAGTACTATTACTATTATTACTATTATTATTATTTTATTATTTTTATTATTGTTAGTATTACCGATGATGTATTATTTAATTTCTTAAGAAATTATTATACACATAAGAGTATTGTAAAAAACAAAGTCGTGTAGAATATATTAATGTATTAATTAAATTAATATTATATCAACAATGCATATGTTCATATCGTAAAAAAATATCATATAGGTCATGATACTTCACTTTTAGGTAAAATATATCATGGAAGTAATAGAATGTCAATATAGGTTGGGAAATTATATTTATACTATCAGAGACTCTAAGGATGTACATGCTAAATTGAAAAGTGGTAATTTAACGATACTTTTAAATTTATATTCTAAAATCTTACGATTTAGGATCGATCGTGCTTACACATAGACATCTTTAATTTCCAGATCCTGTTTTTATTACAGAGTATATTAAATTATATGGTAATCATATGGAATTTGGAGTACAAAGTGTAAAAATACCAACAGGTTGGTACACACATGTGTCCAATCATAAACAATTTAACAATTATTTTATCAATGTTATATTATTTCTCTTAATAACTATAATTAATTTTATTTTTTACGTTTGAAATACGTTTTCAATGGACATTAGTAAACTTCGACTTAAAAATGTTCTAATATTTGAATTAATTTATAGCATGCTCGATTTTAGATACTGGATTCGTTTGGACAAAAAAAGCAACGTTTTTGCTTATAGAAGAATACTATGCTAGAAAAGAAAAGTTTAAAGATACTACGATAAAGAAGAAATCATTGTGGAAAGAAATAGCACTTGTATTTGAAAAGAATAATTATTATGTTTCTCCATTAAATTTAGATAAAAAATTTAGAAATTTAAAAAGAACTTATCTTAAAATTCGCGATAACATTAAAAAATCACCTAAGGAAAAGGTTAGAATTACGTGGGGATATTACGAATATTTAAAAACTATTTTTGAAGATTATAATGTAGATAACTATAGTACGACAAATAAAATTGTAGTTAAGACTGAAGATGATGAAAAGATATCAAAAAGTATTGTTCATAATGAAAACTCGTTATCTGGAAAATCTGTAGAGGATGATGATTCTATTTTAATATTATCCGATCAATCAGATCAATCAGATCAGTCAGATCAATCAGATTATTATAATAATACTAAACAAATTATTGATTATGTAAAACCAATTAATATACAGAAAAGAGTTAAATTAAGGACGCAAAGAAAGAGACAAGTAAAAAATTTTAGAGAAGAACGTCTTAGTTTAGAAAAAGAAAAGATCAAAGAGCTTAGACGTTTGCGAGAGGCTATAGAAAATAATAATGAAATACAGAGAGAACGTAATCAATTATTCTCATCTTTTATAATGAATATATCATATGAAACATTAAACGAATATAAGTTTGGAACTTCTTATGAGAAAGCATAAATAATATAAATTTATATTGCGAACAGGGTATCAAATGTGAGTAAGAATAAATTATTATAAAAGTATATCTTTATGAGATCATTTTCTCATTATTAATAAATTTGAATTTAATCAAAATCGAACCAAAGCTGTCCGATTTGACCTAATTTATTTATAAATTATATTTACTTAGTATGTACTTTTTGTATATTGTATATTCTTTTTTGTATATTGTATGTATATTTACTTAGTTACTATAGTATGTAAATATATGTATGATAGAATCTAGCATAAAAGTGCACTTTTTAGAAAACATGTAATATCTTCATATCTAATAGAAGGATTTCAATGAAATTTGAAAAATTAGTAGCACATAATGTTTTGACGATGTAGATGAAATTTAAAAAAAAATACAAAAAAGAATTCAGCGCCAGTCTGTAAAAGGTATTAATAATACTCTTTCCGCCGATAGTGTATTAATCTACTGATTAGATTTATATATGTCTATAAAGAAAAATGTAAATAATAGATTTTTTTTAATAATAAAGAATATACATTGAAGATTGCTGAAGAATTACTACACGTTTGTGATAATAAAAAAAAAAATAACAAGTAATAAATAATTAATTAGCAAATTTGTCAAGAAAATTCAATTTAATCTATTTCGTCAATCATATTCTTATAATTTTGTAAGATCTAATTTTTTTCAAATGAAAATTATTTAAATGCACATCAATACACAATATTGGCAGTATATATTTACATGATACAACAATAAAAAGTAATACCATCGTTTTGTTGTCATTGAGCACTAAATGTAGAACTTGGATATAATCACATTTTTATGGAATTATTTAATACTACACAATTTTGTTGTCAATAATTCTAATATGAGCGAGTTTTAAATGGAAAATTCAAAGATAAGAATCTATGCTATATACAGGTTGTCCCAACTAAAAAAAATCATCTAAATATTTTCTTTGGTTTTTATTATACGACAAATTTTACATGGCATTACTTTGAATGGTTTAGAAATCTATAATATAGAAAAAAATCTAATGGAATTAGATCAAGTGAATATGCCGGCCAAATTATTAATTGTAAACAACTTTATTAATTGTATTAATGCCAAAAGACATGTATATTTTACTCGCTACAAGGGATAATAAAAAAAAATGACCTATAAAAACATAACTCTTTTTAAACCATTTCAAAGTATGCCATAAAAATTTGTTGCATCATAAAAAACAAAGAAAATATTTAGGTGACCTTTTTTTTAGGTCATCCTATATAAATGTATATATCTTACAATTAACTGAAAAGAAGTTTTTTTTTTTTTGTTATGAATATGCCACTTGTTATTCGTGCCATAAATTGCCTAAAAATATTTGTACACAAATATTTAAACTTAACATATAATAACATATAATTAATTTCATATTAATAAATACAAGCATATTTTGCCTATATATATATAACAGTACTCCTAGTTTCTCAGAATATACATATTCAGTTAATTAATACGTTTATATATATATACAAAGAACGAATTTTCATGTTACATCAATTATTTATGCGTTTTATTGTTCAAGTGGTGTACCCTAAAATAAAAGTAAACAATTTAGATTAGAATTAAAAAATTTTGGTTGAACCATTAGTAAAGTACTAAATCTAATAATTATATATACTACTTAAACTATTTGTTTGCCTAATCGATAAACTCTACAAACAAGTAATACATTTTTCATATCATTTATTATCAAATAGTCATAAAAAATATTCTCATTTATAGTAGCATTAAGTTTAATTATTAACCCCTTGCATTATTAGGACTTGTGTTTCTACTGTTTAAATAGTAATGAGTATCACGAGTCCAATAGGTTATTTTAATGCAAGCAGTTAATTTATTTCAATTATAAAAGGTTAAGTATCAGTTAAGCAATTTAATATTTTTTCAAATTCTAAAACTAAAGTTAATCGTTTAGGTATTTGAATAATTTAATAGTAAATAGAATCAAAGATTATATAAAAAATACTAACCCATTCTTGAGCCATCATAAGTATAGTTTTATTAGATAATTTAGGTCCAATTAATGGATTCATTTGTGCCATGTAACAACATAACCAACTACAATAATAGAATATTATTATCAATATTAATAAATAATTTAGATTAGGATATTAAATATTGTAATACTTACAACAACCAACAAGTAAATGCTGTTAATATAAGAACAACTTGTAGGATTCTAAAAAAGAAAAAGAAAATGAACAATAATAATAATTAATTGATTAATAATTAAAAAGGAAAAAAATGTTTCTGATTATTTGTTTTTTTTTCTTTTTTTAATTAAAAAAAATTTGTTTGACAGATAGTGGGATGGGCACTTTAAAATATTTGTATGTTAAAACGTACCCACGGTTTGGTCCAGTAGGCACAAAACACGGGAATGCAATCCCAACTGCTCCCCATAAAATGGTGAATATTAATACTGGTGCTATGGATGCTGCCATTTCTCGAGACTTTTAAATTTTTTAAAAAGAAACAGGTAGAATATATTAAAAAAATATATGAATTTCAACCAGCGGATTTGCTTCTCAGGTGTGTGTAGTAATCACATGAGTGAAAATATCGATACTAATCGTTTTGACGTTTAAAGTGTCATGTGATGTGGCTTTCGATTAGATTCGATATACCGCGACTTTCAAATCGTGTCTTTCGATTGGATTCGATATACCGCGAATTTCAAATTGTATGTATAAAATACATTTATATTATTAATAATAATTAAAATTAATAATAAATATATAAGCTACTCTTACATGTAAAAATCGATTAAATATACAATATAAAAATTAGGAAAAGATTGAAAAAGTTATATACATCTTTATATCATTTGTTGTTTTGTGATATACGGAGTGTTACATAAATTAATTGACAAAAATGTATTATTATTTTTAATAGATTTAATTTTACAAACATTAGGCCTTACACATAATATTTTAATAAAAGAAAAAAAAAATATATTTTTAAATAATACGACAATTGCAACGATCATCATATAGATTGTTTTTATTTTATTTAAAAAATTTTTGTAATCGATACTTTCGTTGGTTCCAAACAAATACTAAATTTTCAATTACGAAAATTATGCTAGCTAAAATAGCCGCAAAACATGGTATCAAGAAAAATGTAGACACCTGTTCCATTTCAACCGGATCTGGTTGCTGCCAATCCAAATATATCTTTTTATTAGCTTTTATTTGCTTTTTTAATCGATCTATTAAACCAATCTCGAGTAATTTTATGACACTATTAAATAATATAATATATTATTTATTTCTACATCGTATATTAGCATCAACTCAATAATATATTTATTTATTTATATATTATGCTAACACTTTGAATGCCATGCTCATTTTACATGACTTGCATGTTATGTCAAGTCGAATTTGTTATTATATTGAAATATTATTTAAAATAGATAAGGTAAAGTAATGTAATCATATGCGATGTATTTATTTTATTGAAAGTCACTGATAACCGACGCAGCGTCACGAATAAACTTAATGCCGGACACCAATGACCCCCATGGCATTCAATGTGTTAAATATATGGATAATATTTCACAATTAGAAATAATATACTTAAATTTACCCCATATCTATTGTCCTTTTATATTTGAATTTTTTACTTATTCCAGATGCAACCCATGTTTCAAAATAAACTTGTCCTACAGCTTCCAATTGACAAATATAATCTCCTTTTGTGTCATGCACATCTTCGGGAAAGAACATAACATAATCGTTAAAACATGCTTGTTCATACATTTCTTCATCCGTCTCAACTACAAGAAGTCGATTGCTTTTCCATAATTCTTTTAAAACTACATTACTTATCTAAAATTGAATTACTCTCTATAAAAAGGATTATGCACTTTTTTTGTAAAATTATCATGTTTAATATTTTAAAAGTGAATATATTAATTTACCTTAAATGCTATATAAGGAACAGATCCGTTGACGATAACGACGTTGTAATTCGTTTTATTTTTCAAAGATATAAGATCATTGAATGTCGGTAAATCTACGATTTTCGTTGTCATGTAAGCAAATACGAGCACGGAAAAAGCTATATGCATAATAGTGCAAAACAAACTCAGGGATAATTCTATTATTCGTGATCTTCCCTCAAATTCTTCTGGAATACAACCTGTAAAATTTATTTTAATGAACCTAAAAGTATTCAATAATTAAATGGTTAACGTGCATAATTTAATCTCAAATTTTTCTTTATACTTGAATAACGTTGAGTAATTTCAAATACATTTTTTCTTTTTGCAAATCTGATTACACAGATTTAAAGTTTAATACTATTATTACAAAAAGTATCTTTACCTTTTTTTTTTTTTTAAAGTGCATAGTTGCCGAAATATTAATAAGAGTTAAATTTACCTTGTTTGCATAACATACCAAAGTTGTAGAAACAATGATCGATTAAATCTGCTTTTTGTTTGATTTCAATGTAACATGAGAATACTAATTGTGATATGTAACCGCATATAGTTAATAAAACATACGTTGCTGCAATAAAATACCAAACATTCCAATCGAATAAATATAATACCCAACCGGAACTATATGCTGGATCGACTCGAAGAAAAAGTCGATGTCTATATGTTTAAAATGAAAAATAAATACATTTGTTGAGATATATACAATGTTAATTATATTAACACTTTGATCATCATTAAAGTTGTCATCATAAAATGTTTTAATTTATTTATAATTGATTACACTCTAATGTTCCAAATATTTAGATGGATAATTGTAATTTTAATTTTAAAAACATTTTAAAAATTGTTCTACGTATTTAATTGTTCGTTAAAAAATTGTGTTAATTTTGATAAATATTATGCAATATAATAAATCAAAATATTACATACGGTGTTTTCCAAAGTGCAGGTGTAAATCGAGCAGCATTGACTCGTTTAGAATACATCCCTATTTTTGGTACTACATCGGTTTTATTTTGTTGTAATAAACCTAACAAACCTTGATAAGTAATATTACCATTTTCATTAATAAAAGTACCCACAGTTGTTACATCTGAACGTATTGTTTTCAATCTGAACAAAATAAATATTTTTATATAAAATAATATTTCACATTAAGAAAACATTTATGAAATAATTCTTGATGATATTGATATTTACGTAAAATTTAAAGATTCAGAGAGTAAATTCCATATGTCAGCTGCAAGACCACTGACCTTAGTATCATTGTCACTGTAAGAGACTATATTTGATTCCTGTAGTAAAGATAAATATAAATTATTATTGAATATTATTTTTTAAATGATATCAAAAATGTTCTATGTTTGTTTACCTCAAAATAAGTAAATTCAATAATTTCTTTATGAAAATTATGTGTTTCGATTAATCGTTTTTTCGACAAAACTTCTTGATGAATTATCCAATAACGATTAATGCTAAATATGGGTACAAAGACACCAAGATTTTTGTTCCATATTACACCACCGATAGTTAAAGAAAATACAAATAAATCTTGAATAGTTGCTATTAATAATATACTTTTCATAGCGAGAGGAGAGAAAAAGAAAGTATTTCACTAGATGTGAATAGTAACTGAGTGCATGTGAATAAAATTCATGTTTCTCGATGAAAAAAAAAATGTGAAGATTCCTTAAAAAGTTAAAAAGTTGCGTGTTATTTCATCATTTAGCATGTTTGCATGGCATGGTATTTAGTTTAGACATTTCAATAGTGATTCGTTATCTAATTGTTTTTTTTTTTTCTACAAATTAGAAGTCACACATGTGACCAGAAATGTTTTATAATAAGGATTGGTTTTTTAAATGCGACCGAGTTTTCATTTCCATTAGTCATATGTTATTCTTTCGTGCTGTTTATCGTATACCTAAGTAATAATACACGTAATAATAATGTTTGCATATAATAGTAAAAATGAAAAATCAATTTCAATTAAAATGGAAAAAAGAAAACAAAAAATAATGTCAGTAGGTTTATGATTTTTAAAAATGTTTCATTTTGTTTGGTGGTGTACGTTAAGTGTTTTTGTTAAATGAACAATGAGTTAAGTGTAGACAAGAATTTAAAGATATATTTTTTTGAAAAGGTTTAATTTCGTTAAGTGTGTATTAAATTTTCGTACTAAATTGAATTTGCTCTCTTGTTTTCTTTTTTTAATTTCATGCTGAATTTTCTTCGGTATTATGGGGGTAAGGAATTATTATTTTTATAATATGACATGAGATACATAGCTAAATTATTTTCTAATTTAATATTTAATATTTTATTGTGTGTGACACTATTATATATTATTCACGCATTTATGTGAAAGCTTTATTTAAATATAATTCTAACTATAAATATAAAACTATATTTAATATATTTAAATATAAAACTAAAATATTAATAAATAAATATGTAAATATAAACTATATTCTAAATATAAAACTATATTTAAATACAATTTTTGTTTATACCATTAAGTGCCACCAGACCAAACCAAACCAAACCAAACCAAACCAGACATGTTAAACATGTTAGCATAATTATTTCAGGATTAAATTAATTATGAGTATTTTATAAATTAACAAATTTGTTACTTTGACAATAACACACATATAAGCTTAATAACATATTTTGTAAATGCATTAATTTTATTTGTATTAATATTTTAAACCTTTTCTTTTAACGCGTTTTTTTCTCATATCTTGTTTCGATTCATAATAAAAAATAATATGTTCCATAGCAAGTACTATTAAGGATATTATAAATCCTATCGATAAAATGATAAATATTACATATATTTGATTGAAATCGATCTTTTGAAATTCAGTCTTTATCTTGTTGTCAAGTTTTATAAACAACCAAGAATCTTTAAATTTGTCGATCAATCCAACTTCGTGCATTTTTATGATCCTACAAATAAATTAATATATAAGTACAATATACATACAGAATCTTCTATAATTAGAATTAAAAATACAAGTAACGAAGGGGGAGCGGGGAAGTTGTGATTTTACATGGAAAAATTAAATATTGAAAATATAGAATACAATTTGTTTAGACAAAGCTTTGTTTTTCGAAGAAAAATAAGTTTGTACATTTTTATTTAATTTATTTAATTTATTATTTTATTTAATTTATTATTTATTTAATTTATTAAGTTTGTACTTCAAATAAATTTTTTTTTTTCAAAAACAAAACCTTGTACTAACAATTTTGATTTTATATCTATTTTTCCCCCTCAATGCTCGCTTATATTATTAATTAAAAAAAAAATAATTAAATAATTAATTTTTCTAAATTTATAGAAAAACAAAAAGAAAAACTTACGCCACATCGATCGTACGTTTATAAGGAAGATGTTTTTGTATCCCAAAAGTAATCCACGTTTCAAAATAAAGCTTTCCTACAGGAATTAAAGTACAAATGTATCTACTTGACACTATATATATGTCTTGTACTACAAATATCGCATATTTGTCTTCAGTTTGACAAACTTGTGTAAACAAATCTTGATTTTTTGCCACGTATTGTACTCGATTGTTCCATTTAGGATTAGTTTGAAAATGTTGTTTTATTCGAGTCTAAAATATAAATTAAATATATATTTTTATGTATCAAATTTATTACATAAGCTTTATACATTTAAAATATTTTATGAATTATTATGAAAAATAATTTTTTATGACGAATGACCTGAGATGACTGAAAAGAAAAAAAGATACATGTGTATTTTAAACACTTTCCAGAAAAATCAATTCATAGTTTGTTGACTATTCGTTTTACGAAAAATAATCTTGAATTTAATATTTTTCCGAAATATTTCAGTTAATTAAGTATGACGATATATCTTGTATATTGTTTATAATTATATCAAAAGTATTTAATTATTAATTTATACATCAAATGAAAAATAAGTGAAATATTGGAGAAAATAAAGTTAGGTGGTTAACCTGGTATATAAATAATAGAAAAATTAATTAAATTTACATAAATTAATTAATTTCATACCTTGAATTCATCGTGAACCATTGACCCAAGGAAACTGATGATTACATAATCTGTTTTATGAAATAAATGTGTTATATTGTAAAACGGTGGTATCATTTTTCTATTAGTCATTTGATAAATCAAATTGGAGCTAAATGTTAGGAAAATTAACCAAGAGAAAATATTCTTCGAATAAGTGAGTATCTTGAATTTGTCGAAGAAATCTTTTGGAAGATAACCTTGAAGAAAATAATATTTTTATTTCATATATCACTGTTTTATATTTTAATGAATAATTAATATATATATATATATATAAAATTATTTTTAAATTTAATTATTTTTAAAATTAATATATATTATAATTATTTATTTTTTTTTATTATTTTTTTATTTTATATTTATTTTTAATTATTGTATTATCTATTAATTATTATATTATATTATAGATACTGTATAATATTATTTTATAAAAATTATTTTTTTTTATTATTTAGAACAGAGCTTCTCAAATTGTTTACTTTTCAATTTTTTAATTTATTTTTGTACAAATTTGAAATATCAAATCCAATTAAAATTCAAAAAATTACATTTACTTTATAATTACTTGAAAATAATTAAATTTATTATTAATTTAAAGATTAGTTAAAGATTTATAAAATTCGATATTTTGCAACAAATATTACGAACAAATAATACGAAAGAATAAAATTATCGATTAATCGATATTTTCCATTTATTTTTACCTTGCGAACACATTATAGCAAATGTGTGAAAGATGTGATCACTTAAGTTGAAATTCACATTATTTTTATATTCTTTAGGATTAATTATAGTTATTTTTTGCGCCAAAAAACCGAAAAGACTTAGAATCACGAATATTGATATAATGAAGTACCAAGTGTTGGGTGAAAACATTGATATTAACCACATATTATCGTAATACAATTTTGGACGGATAATTAAATTATATCTGAAAAACAAATACAAGAATATAAATAATACAATAAATTAAAAATTATTTTACAAATTTTTACATGAAATTCAAATTGAAATTCAACCATTTTACAAATGAAATTGAATTTTAATTTATTTTAATAATGAAACGTATAAACCATAATGATAAAACTTGTTAATTAATTAATTTGTATTTCAATTTAATTTATATATTTTTTTTTAAATTTTAGAAATTTAACTAAAAATTACCCTGTTTTGTAAATGGGCATGGTATAAACCATATTATTTTGTTGAAATTTATATTCTCCGGTTCGCAAAATGACGTCAGTTTCATTTCGTTGAAACATACCCATAATCCCATCGTAAGAACCATTTGGTAAAAGTTTACCGAATGAAAAAATCGGACTTTTTATTGGTATTAATCTACGAATAAATCAAATAAAATCTGATAATCAAATTACCGTGATATTTATAATAGAAATCATTTGATTTCTGATACGTACGTAAAATTTAAATATTCGGAAAGAATTGTCCACAAATCACCTGCTAAACCTGTAATTTTGGTATCATTTTCGTAGAACATGGTCATATGAGAAGCCTAAATCAAATAAGAATCATCATTTACAATGATAATTAATTATAAATATTTTTTAAAATATCAAATTACGATAATAATTTGAAACATTTGACATGCATATTTTGTTACACCTTATTTTTTAACACTAGATTTACGGATGTTTTGTTCAATATTTTTTAATGATTTACAAACATTGTTCAAATGGAAGATTGAATAGAGGGTAGGAATTAATATTTAAATATATTTCATTACGTAACTTCCGAACAACATGTATTTTAAAAAAATAATATTTAAGTTTTGTATATATGTATCAAAAAAATTTGAGATGAGTCAAATTGGCTCAGTTCGTAAATCTAGTGTTAAATTTATTTACAAATTACAATAATACAATTGTTTTTGTAAAATAAATATGCTTATGTTAGTTACAAAGTAGAAAAATAATTAATAAATAATTGAAACCTAAGTGTTTCAAAATATTACAAAACGAAAAATATTTAATTTACATTTAATTAGATAAATTTCGTAAAACTGTTATCTACTTATCAGTAAATATGTGTAAAAATGTTTAAATTAGTATTTTAAATAAATAACCTGTATTTATAATAAAATATCAAATTGTAGTATAAATGATCAGTTGTTATAACATATATATATTTATATAACAAGTTAGTACAAACGAGTAGGGGATGATTCTGTATAAAAGATAAAATTAAAAATGTAAAATAAAATGATATCAATAAAAACCTAAACATTAATCATATAAAACAATTTGAAACCTATTTTAGAATAGACTAAAAATAAAATACGAACAAAATCTATTTCATTTTTGCATTTAAATGTAAAGAAACATTTTCCTCTATCAAATATATTGAAATATAACTCGTATAGTATAAATTACACAAATAAAAATATCAAATAAATGCATATAACATTATAATTATTAACAAATATAAAATAAACATATACAAACCTCATAATAAGTTACTCTTATAGGTTTACGATCGAAATGATACAATTCTGTTTGTCGATTTTTCTCACGTGCTTCCGCATGTAAGATTGCAAATTTTGGTATAGAATACAATTGCACAAAATTTTGTTGTCTTTTGTCCCATATCAAACCACTCACTGCAAGACAATTGTTAAAAAAATATTGAAGGATCGTAAGGATGAAGAAAATTCGAACGATCATTGTAAAGGTTCTTTTGTTTATGTTATGTTTTTTTTTCTCTATTGAATTATTATGTTAGTTAGAAAATAGAATAGTGACCTGAAAAATGTATAGCAAAGTATTGAACGGTATTTGAAATGATTACTTCATGTTTCACACTCTAATGAACGGATGTGTCAAGATTGTATATGCCTGATAGAAAAAAAAAATACGTTCGATAGCGATAAAGCTTTTTACCTCCATTATGCCGTGATTATGTTTAAAAAAAAAAATAACAAGAAAAATGTGTGTGAAAGTAAGGAAATATTTATCTAATGCATATACGAAAGGGTATATAACTAACACATTATATATACAAAAAAACATTAATTGTATATTATACTTGATTTAATATATATATTGTTTATATATATATATTTTTTTTTTATTTATTTATAAACGTTATAAATATATACATATATAAATTTATAGTGTATATATATGTATATATTTATTGTGTGTATATATATATGTATAAATTAACTTAGATACTAAAACTTACTCGATGCGTCTATAATAAAAGTACGAAAACAGTTTTATTATTACAAATCACGCGTTACAGATTCTCGATAGTTTTTAAAAAAGTTCTTTTATTTTTTGTCTTTTTTTTTTTTTAATTCTTTTCTTCTTTTTAATATAAGAAACGCAGTAATTCTTAATACGTTCAATCAAATTAAGATTAGATATTTATTTATCGTCTTAAACCCAACGCGCTATCCAATTTTCAAATATAATAAATATTCATAATAAGAAAAAATATATATTTGTATTTATAATAATAAGTTGAAGTTAATTTAACACAACAAATACGAATATATTTAACACCATAAAGTACGAAATCGTTAGTTTTATTTATATATTAATATTTTTTTTTGCATAGGAAATAAAACAATGTTTTATTGTTTTACAAAATATTTCTTTCACGTTTAAATATAAATAACTTAAATAAATTATGTTTTTACATCGAAAAATTGATGAAAAATAAAACCTTATAATATTGTTTCGAAGAACAACGATCAATATTGTTTATTTTAGTCTTCGACAAATTCAAAAAAAGAAAAAAACAAATGATTCAAGATTCGAATTTTCAATTTCGCCATGATGGCGCGCTGAACTCGCGACATTTATTTCTTTATTTATTAAATTCTTTTGTTTTTGTAATTTTTTTTTCTTTTTTTCATTCCTTCTAATATTTTTTTTTAAACCCTGACGAAACGATTCCTACGTTTCTCGTAATAGAAAAATGATAAAAAAGTATAATACAATCTTAGTCAGTCACTCTCTCGTTTCTAAATTTCATTGTGTTAGACGATATTTTTTCTAACAAATTCTAAGATCTTATCTTAGTTAGTTAGCGCATTTTAAAACTTGTATACCATTCTACGGTTCTATACACATACATGGTATGAAATCGCATAATTTTTTTTTTCTTTTTTTGTCATTTTCTTTTTCTTCTTATATTTTCTTATTTTTTTTTTTTTTTTTTTTTTTTTTTTTATACACACAAATGGCAGCATTAATTTATATTAACATCGTTTTACTATTTTTACGAGGACAAATGGTACTTCCTTATTAGAACATTAAATATGTTCGACGATTAGCTTGATTGTACCTTGACGATACTTTTAAAATTATAAATCTGATCGTCTTATAGATTATGGAGATGCAGCACGCTAATTATGTATTATACGTATATAAAAGAACGAGTATATGTATATATATTAGGGTGGGTCAAAAAAATCAATTATTTTTTTTTTTACAAGTGAAACAGAAAAATGGGTTGCTAAACACCTTAAAAAAATTCTCACCAAATATGAGCTCTTAATTTTAATAGGAAGATCCTCCGCATCGCAGTTTTTTATTTTTTCCTCAGTCCCATAGAATAAAATTCATACCTCATCATTAATTGATTGTACAGAAAAATGTTCTGGAAGAATTTTGTAGGAAATTTAATGCTCTACAAAAAAGGTATCTTATATTTTTTCCGTAAACCTCACCATTTGAATGATATTGAAGACTTAAGTTTGATTATTTTCAGACAAATTTCATTTTTGTTTATGAATTTTATAACTCGACAATAAATGACTATTATAAAATGCGAAATACAAATTTTTGTAGGAAACTAACTGCTCTATGAAAATTTCTTATGTTTTGGCGATTAAATTA